ATATATATATATATATATATATATATATATATATATATATATGTATATATGTACACACATTCTTGCCCGCATGCAGTCGGGTGCAAATTGGTATTGAAAAATCTCGAAGTCAATTAAAACTCCAGGCACAAAGGATTCGGCGAGACAAAATACCAATTATCTCATGTCCTCGCCGTCGTCCGCCTCTCTTCCCTCCCCCGCAGCCCCTTCTTTTCCTGCCTGGCCGATGAGAGGAAGAGGAGGAGGAGAAGGAGGAGGAGGAGGAGGAGAAAGAGGGGGGAGGCTCTTTCCCTTGCAAGAACTCAATTCCATTAGGCATTGAAGTGAGTAAAACGAGGATGGGCATCTATATAACGCACTCGCATCTCGCTTATCTACCTAATAAAGGTTTCTCCTGCCCTCCCTCCCCCCCCCACTCCTCAAGCTTCTTCCACTTCTGCGGCACCCCTATAGTATAAAGCGTGCTCGTGAGGTGTCTGCGAGACAATCCCTTGGGATGACAATGCTTATCCCACGTATGAATGCTTCCTAGGTAATTTAAGTATAGCCCGCCCGATATTGTCCCTCTTTCCCTTTATGCGTTTCCTCCCCTCCTTACCCTTGTGGATCTTCGTTCGTGCCCGTCCATGAAAATTTGTTGTTTTCGCGATAACGAGAGAGTGATCGCTCTTAGATTTTATTCCAGATTTAAATTCGAAGGATGCGGAATCCAATATTTCATTTAACGAACCTTTATCGCACCTTGAAAATTCTGTCGTCTATTGATAAAAAAATTAAGGTGTGCTTGATAAGTTGATATTTGTATAAATTTGAAAAAAATTATTAAATATTTGATTATAAAATTCAAGATTTTATTGCGAGAATTCAGTAAACGCATTTAATGAGTCAAAATATTCATCGCAATCTTACACGAGAGGCGATAAAAAAATCATATGATTTCACTTAGTTGGCAATTAGGATGACAGTTAATTAATAATTCTCCCGCCCTGATGATGTAACGTCGTCTTTCGCATATAGGCGGAGCGTGTGATTCGGATATGCGGGAGATTATTCACGTAGCGTTCCCGACATTGATCCTCGACAAATTAAGTCGGTTGCTCGACCGACGGAGCGAGATGTCACACCAGCAGGAACTGGTGGAAGCTGCGTCCTGCAAGCTCGCAGCAAGTGGAACGCCGCATTTGGTTGATTATGGGCGATCGCAAAGACGTGGGAGAATAGGTAGATAAAGCTCCGTTCGCAATAAGTCTGCCAACAGATCCCAAGGCGTTAGAATTTCAATAAAAAAAGACAGAAATTTAGAGATTATATGTTAGGGCTAAACATTTTAAAGACATGTTGGAATTGTTTACAGACAGATTGGCAGCAACTGCAAAAGTCTTCCGAAAGTTTCAATAATTCCAAATAATTGTACAATAATAAAAATAAAATTATCATAATAATAAAATCGAGTAATCTACATTTTTTTTATTTTTAATTCCATGGAAGGTAAAATTCATTTATTTTCCTTCTTACAAAAATTAGAAAAAAAAATAGATACGTAGTATATGATGTATATTTTTTAAAAGATTATTGCAATTATGGTTTAAATTATGGAATCTTCGCGCTCGCTGGTTGGGGATGCAGCTTAAGGGTGCAAGATAGGAAGAGGGCATGGGTACAGGAAAACCTGTGCGAGATCACGCGAATGCGCAACGGAGAGGGAAAGGGAGGAAGAGGGAAGAAGCGGAGGAGAGAAATCCGGATCGCGGCGCCACGTCGCTACCCCCTGAAACGTACGCTCGAACGCGTTGCGTAATTAGCGACTGCCTCCCCGTTTCGTAGGTGGGTGGGTGGGTTGTATCCAACGGTACCGAAGGATCGGACGAAGAGGGCGGGAGGCGGAGAGGGGAATGGGAAGGACGGCAGCGCGGAAAGGGTCGACCAAGTGCAACCCTAGAATCCGTTCGTGTGACTTGCGCTGAAATCCACCGTGTGCACACATAGTAGGTACACGTGCACGTGTACGATCTACGGGGTGTTTCTTCCGTAAAAGCCGTGTGACACGAAGATAGAAGTTTTAGAAATCTGAAAAAACGCGTTCGAGACAGACTGGACCCTCGAGATTTGAGATAAGATTTTTCCACAACTCGGTTTTTTCATAACTTTGATCTACGTAGACACTCATTCTTTTTCTTCCTTTAAGAATGCTGTTTGAAAGAAGAACATAAAGCGAATTTGTCCTGAAACAGTTGCACGCATTGCGGATTTAGGATCTTTAGAAAATCAACAGTGATGTCATTAATATGTAACGTAGTCATTATCGGAAAATATCGTTCCAGCAATTCTTAGAAAGCTTCCGATTCGATGAGTGCGCGCTGAGTTAAGGGTGGATTAGCTGCCGATTTGATTTCTTTGAGGGTGGGAAAACGGGTTTTGGTCGAATTATGCGCCTCGTGGCGTCGACACTAATCCTTTTGAAAACACCCTGTATAAAAGGAGAGGTAGGAGGTGCAAGCGTCGTCGAGACGCAATTAATGCGGAAACCAAGCGCGGACGTAGAGGGAGTTTCGAGAAGGGCATCGCTATGCTGTGAGACGTAATGACTAATTGAGATCGGAAAGAGAAGGGCGAGCAAAGAGGGAGGAGAGGGTGCCAGAATAGAAGGGGGTTAATACAAGCTGCGTGGTCACGGTAAAACGCACGTTTTCTCTCTCTCTCTCTCTCTCTTCCCCTCTTCCTTTCTCTCTCGCTCTCTCTTTTCAGAGTATTCCGTACAACCCTCTTTCCACCGTTCTAGGACCTGTGACAAAGGATCACTCGCTTGCAGGCGCACCAATGGAATTATGGATTCCTCTTCTGTCGAGGCCTTCGGATTCTGCACGATTTTCTGTATAATCGATTGGGAGTGAGATTATGCTCACGAGGCATACGAAATCGTGGGGACTATACGGAGATTTGCGAATGTGTTCTGATATTGTATGCATATATGTATATATGTATGTGTATATATATATATATATATATATATATATATATATACACTATATATATATAATATATATATATATATATATATAT